CTTCTTTCCACCTGTTGCTGCATGTGCTCTGTGGTGTCTTTGGCTGATTATGTTGCATAAGGAGAGCATAGAGGGGTGTGAATTAGAGCCATTTTGCCAGTTGAACACTGGAGCAGGAGAAGCTACATGTGATCTATGGTGCTGCAAGCTGGTAATAAGTTTTGGATGCATGTGCGGGGAGCCAAGTGACACAACACCAGAAATTGATAGTTGAGGAGGCCTGCCATCAGATAGTGGGAAGTTACTGGAGAGAACCAGTGGAGGGGTCTGCTCACAAAAGTGTGCTTGTGGGGGCCTGCAGTGAAAGCTGATTTACCGGAAGGGCTTGAGCTAGGAAAAGAGGCAGAAAGAGTATCTGTGTTCCTGTGTCTCAGCAAGTACATAAAACACAGTGGCATGCCAGTGTTATGTTAATAAAGCATGCCAGCTTTAAGGACTTAATATTATCTCTTTCTTGTTGCGGCTGATAGATAAAGAGGGACTATATCCCACCCTGAAAAATTGAGTTCAGAAACCATTGCCAGGGCCGGCCAGATTAACATAAGGGCGGATGGAGCTCCTGCTCCAGGCCCCTCCCTGCAAATAGGCCCAGCTGATCCGAATCCGCCGGTTCGAAACGGCAAACCCAAATCACAGTTGGCCTGACCCGAATTATGGCCGGCTCAACCCGAATCACAGCTGCCCCGACCCAAATCACGGCCAGCCCAATGGCAATTCAGGCAGCTGCGACCCACCTGGAGCCCTCACTGACCACCTGAGAGCCTACACAAAGTGTCACACCGGATTACTGCACAGATCTGGAAGCCAGATACACAAAGCAACCCAAGATTCAAGGAAGAATACACATGCCTCTTGTATTTAGACAATATTTGCTTCCCACGGAGTTCGGCTTTAGGCACATTGGTGAGTTACAATGTCAGTAGATGTGCTTGTGATGTTAACAATGATGTTAAAGTTGTAATGAATAAAGATTCTAATAAGAACATACAGCAGTGTAGTGTTGATATTTTCAGATTATTTGTGCTTAAAGGGGACGTTACAGCAAAATTTAAGGTCTGCTCTTTAGGTGCAGGCTTTCTCCCCCTGTAAAAATCACTGCATGATAGTAGTTGTAAATAAAAGATTTAGATTACCGTATATACAGTACCTACCTTACACCCGTCCTCCCTGTCGCAGAGTGTAAATCCTTCTTTTCGAGGACTGATGAGTACCCAAACTCTCATGATAAGACATTCCAGTCCATTGCTAGGATATGTTCTCTTGAGATGTGGGCAGCTCTATGTCCTCCAAGATCTTGCCAGAAGGAATGTGACATCATCCTCGTCTACGCATCATGGTCAGAAGATGGGAGTGAAGTAAGGTATGTAACCTAACTTTTCTCTTCACAGGTAGCAGAGATTTTTACAGAGCAGAGGGCCTGGACCTGATAAGTAGAGCTTGCATTTTACTGAAAGGTCCCCTTGAACATTTTTCTGTTTGAATTGTATAATATGTTCAGTGCTTTATTGTTCTGATTGCTTAAAAAGCACTGGCTTTACCCATCCTTTAAAGAGAACCAGTTACAACAAGAATCTGATTATTTAGTTATAGTGGGGTGGTGGTGTGAATGCATTGGGCTCAATTAGAAAAGTTGTTTTTCTCTTTCTCTCTGCTGTTTTTTTCTCCATAATACTGTGCCTTATCTAGCTCACATCTCTCATAGATCTCATTAAAAAGGGTAAATCACATGATTTATTTAACCTCCTTTCTAAGTAACAGTATTTTACCACTACAAGTACTTTTATAACACTGTCATTATTATTTTATTGGCCTTAATGATAAAAATTAATTGATCTGTCAACACACAAATATTTCCCTCCTTTTAAGTCGGGTATACACGCTTCTATTTTCTTTGTTTAACCTGCCAGCTGAATGAAGAAAATAGAACAGATTCCTCCATCTACGGTTACGAGGGTTGATTGAGGAATCTCCTGCTGTTTGCTTTGTATTCTGACAGCGGCTGGCGGCTGCTGTCAGAATACCTGAACAGAGCACCTCATTGGCTGCTAGCTCTGTTTGGCCGACAATTCTTTGACATGCTCTTTCAATCAACTGATCGAGGGATGCGGGTCGTAAAGCTGCCGACAGCGGCACCCATGTATCCTATTTCGGCCGGTTCATCGAGAATATCAAATCAGGAGAATTAGTCTTGGGAAGTGATGATAAAATAAAACTTTGCAAGATAAAATTATGATTTTTTTTTTTTAAAAGACAGTAAATGTTTATTACTTATACATATTACCCATCTTGGGGTTTTTTGATGTTTGTAGAAATTGAAGATTTTTAGGAGAACATTATCATGAGACAAAATTGGCAATAATGTTATATCCCTCCATGTTTGTGAAGTTAGCCTATGAGGACACACTAAATAAAAATGAACTCTTTTATAGAAAAATTTGTTTTTATTGATCACAGTAAACACTCATATCAAACATTCAGTTGTACATTCACAATACATTTCAAAAATATAAATAGATTAATGTGAAATTTCCATTTAAGAACCATTGAGTAGACCTATCTTTGGTCAGTACTGTGCTTACTGGGTTGAAACAAAATGTTTCTAGTTAATCTATTGTAGTACTCCACTGTAACAGTATTTGCATATTTTTTTGTGTTTCTAAACTTTTTTTACACGTGTATAGCACTATACATAATACATACTAAAGACTCATGCACATGGGTGCCTGGGGCCGTACAATGTAAAAATTGGACCTTTTTGCACACGCTGGTGTGTACTATGCACATGTGCTACAGTGCGCTGTTACAACATAACGCAGTACTTGATTTTTTTTTCTCTTTTTAAAACATCTTTTAAATTACATTTGTTTGACTCATTGCAAGGCATTTCCATGCACTGTAACAATAAAATGCATGTCTCCATCATTTTATCACAATGTAAACACAGCACTGCAGATGGGGCATTACCACAAGGTGTGTAAAGCCAACCTCCAGATTTTTAGCGTTGGTTTCTCATTTACAGTTTTGCATACTGTTGATTTTCATTTTTGTTTAGCAAAAAGGCACAATTTAAAATTTTCAAATATTTGTTAACTTGATACAGTTTAAGGTTTAGTAGGGATTTTTGTAAGGTATGTTGTGTTTGAGTGTGCTAGTAATGATTTTAGTGTATTTTTACAGAAAATATTGTTTTTATGAACATGTACAAAACCAGCAGCACAATCTTTTTATTGTAGAGTTCCTGTGCTTTCAGAAAACGTATGGCTGGAAGGGTATTTTACAAACCGTCAAAGCTGTAGGTAACAAATGGTGAAATATAATGTGAAAAAAAAGTGAAAATAGCAAAAAATGGCTCGGCACCTGAGAATGAAAGTGAAGAGCAGAGTCTGACAGCGAAAAGGTTAGCCTGATAAACATGAAACTTAACCTAGCGCTCCACCTTCTGGCAGGAAATAGTAAAATATCCTGTATTTTATATTTGCATGACACAATGAAAATAATTATTTATTTAATTTAGCCCTAAGTATAATAAATAACAATGTTTATATACAAACACACTAATTACCTCTAATGGTTTTGTGCAATAAATATGCACTACAGTAAATATGCTCACTTGGAAGTCTAATGTAGACTAATACATTTGTCAGTCCAAGCTTTGAGTGGTGACTACTTTACAACACACACAGGGACCACGGGGAATAAAAGTAGCCACCCTCCAGAAGGAAGGAAAGTGTCAGCACAAGTTCAGTGATGATCCGAGAATCTACAGCCGAGTGATACACAAATAAGATACATTTTTGTTAATAGTTAGGGTACTTGAATGTATTTTTAAGATTTAACTCTTATGTATAGTGTCCCTTTAAACTGCCATTTCTACATTTACATTTGCCTTATTAAATACACCTGCATATGTGTCATAAAAAATGACACATATGTACCATGGATAGCCAAGATAATCTACCATTTTTCAACATTTTTTAAATAAATGTTGTGAGGCCAGAGGGAAATACAGCAATTTCCACAGGTTGGAATGCTTAACAATTGAAGCATAGTCAGTAATACAATTCAGGGCTTGTTCACACCAAATGCAGACCAGATCTGCATGAGTTTCTGCACACGCAGTGCAGTGTGTCTTGCCTCGTTTTTTGCCGCGTTCAGGGCTGTTTTTGCAACCAAAACATGCGTCTGCATGCGTTCCAAAGCATTCCAGAGCAGGTAAAATATGGCTTGCTGCAGTTTTTTTTACATGCTCTGGAACTGAACGCTGCGGTCTGAACTAGAGCCCAAAATATCATTGGAATACAGGTGAAACTCGAATAATTAGAATATCGTGCAAAAGTAATTGCAGTAAGTGCTGCAAAAGGGGCCCAAACCAAGTACTGAGTACATATGCATGCTTGTACTTTTCAGAGGTCCGATATTGTTCTATGTACAATCCTTGTTTTATTGATTGCATGTAATAATCTACTTTTTTGAGGTTGTGGATTTGGGGTTCTTGGGGTTTTCATGAGCTGTAAGCCATAATCATCACAATTATGACAAATCACGGCTTGAACTATCTTGCTTTGCATGTAATGAGTCTATCTCATATATTAGTTTCACCTTTTAAGTTGCATTAGTGAAATAAATGAACTTTGCACGATATTCTAATTATTCAAGTTTCACCTGTACATTGGACGCAGTTTTGATCTGGTCTGTAACTGCTCTGCTCTGCTCCTGGAACGCGCTTGGTGTGAACTAGCCCTCAGATGCAAAGCACAAATGCAAAGTGCATTACCGTAAGCAACCAATTTAAGTGTTTTTTCACATCTTGTTCCACCTAGCAAACAATCAGAATCCTTGTTTCATTGTCAGACATGGACTACACATACTGTATGACAGTTAGAAGCTGATTACTATGGACAAAATTAAATTTGTTCATCAGCCCCTTTGAATGTTTTAATGACTAAACTCATTATTTTGGCATTATAGTATATGCTACCTACATATACATGGTACACATGGACAAAATTAGTACTAAACATCACTAAACATAAAAATAAATATGTGATTATAAATGATCCCGGTATAAGGTTTTATATCTTATATATTCCTCCATACATTGCATAGTAGTGTCATCTACCTTTGGGTCAAATTTGTTGGCAAACAGGTGATGCTGTTTAATTAACCAGCTGAGATCTCCAGCACCATAGATACATACTGCCCTTCTGTGAAGTCCGGTACAAGGAGGATAAGCAGCCCCTTTAGTTATGTCACCCTCTTGGTATGACCACTTAACCATTCTAGCCATTGAATTCATGTCTGATTGTTCGTACTTTTCACTGTAGGGAGAGGAGCCAGGGACGCCAGGCATTCTGTTCAAAGAAGCCCAAATATGTTCATCTGGACTGTAAGTGTCTTTGGCCCAATCGATAAACTTTTGAACCTGTGGTTCTTCAAAGATATACCTCACAAAGTCTCTGGACACTACAATGTAAGCATTTCCTGTAAACATTGGGCTTGCAATCGGTGGTGGCATTTTTTCAGTATTCGTTTGCGAAATGTGATCACTAACTTCATAGTGATATTTCCAGCGTCTTTGTTTCAGTTGTGATGGCCTTTCAGATTCCATTGTGTTTTTGCCATTAAGTGATTTAAGAACACGCACAATTTCAGCATTCGTTTTCAGTGGGAAGTCTGAGCCACATGTATTTAGAAGGTACTTCCATTGAATGTTACTTTTTAATAGGTCTTCCATGCAGTTAAGATCAGCCTGGACTCTTGACCAAGAAGCATAGATCACTTGCTCCAGTTTAGATGCCACAAATACATTATCAAAGCATGAGGTGATAGCTTTCACTGCCTCCTTGAACTGTGCTGAAGACTTTTCATCAACATGAATGCAATAGATGTTCTGAGGAAAATAAATTGCTCTCAAGAGTCTCTCAAACGCCTCAATATTTTCATGAATGACCATTGAATAAGCAATAGGAAAATCTTCTTCTTCCTTGCTCATTGGAATAGTAATATATTTTCGAAATTCTCTGAAATGCTTGCAGTCTGTAGTCAGGTTTAAATACATTTGTTCAGTTAAATATAAATTATCCTTCTTTATAGCAGCATTGATTTCTAATGCCTTCTTTATAGCATCAGGGTCTCCCTTAAGAATCTTGGAACAATTTAACTCACTGTGTTCCTCTGGTTCCAGTCTTACAAGATCATAAAGTTCATCTCTGCAGATCTGACTCCTGGCACTGTTTGTTCCATCCTCAATGTTTTCCAATTTGCATGGATTGTGTGTATATTTAATCAGAAAGGTCCCCGAAAAAGTTAGTACAACCAAGATCAGAAACTTGTAAAGAGAAAAGTATCTGTGCCTCCTGATGTCACAACGAGACATTCTTTCAGATGAGGATGAACCAGCTCTATGAATAATGTTCTATTCCTTTGTTAACCTTTCTGAGAACTGGCCATGCACGTCTTAACACTCTTAATAAAATGCCGTGAGCAATGTTTAACACCCACTAAGATTTGCATGCTACAGGCATCAGGTTACCAATTACCTTTCCACCTTAATGTTGAAATAAGTAAACATATTGCAGCTATGTAAGAAGTTGGGAGTGGTGTAATGATGTGCATGTATTATCTCATTACCTTCTCTATACTTTGTGACTCCCACAGATAACCCGTTTGGCATTTAGCATCTAAGTTATCTGACAAAGTTAAGACTTCAACAAACTGAATAATATTTGGGGCTAGTAAATTATTTTATAGTGATCCCATGGATATACTATTCTTGACATATGCAGTAAAAGAGAACAACTCAGTTTCCTTTTAGTGCATAGGTAATCATTGAATACACAAGTGATTAAAGTTCATTTCACGTGGATGTTGTGTTTTAGAAACACATGGTGGAGGTGGGGTAGTTCTCAATGTGCACAAAATATCATGCTTATTAGATTTATAGGAAGATTTATAGGAAGATTTATATTTTCAGAAAATAGCTAATTTACATTACACACTAGTGACGGTTGCTGTGTACTTGATTTGGTATATTTTAATGTGTTGTTAAAACAGTGGTTTAGTTTTTTTTTTTTTTTTTGTTTAACCACTTCAAGACCAGGTGTTTAGACCCCCTTCCTGGCCAGGCCATTTTTCAGTGTTCAGCGCTGCGATACTTTGACTGACGTTTATTCCGTCATGCAACGCTGTACTGAAATGAATTTTATACCATTTTTTGGGGACAGATAGGGCGTTATTTCGGTGGTATTTAATCACCACTGGGGTTTTTATTTTTTATTATAATTAGGAAAAAAGGTTACTTAAAATATGAAAATTTTCATGATCAGATAAATTCTTTTAATATGTCTTTTCCTGTATACAGTTGTTTATCCATGGACAATGGGCCAGATAAAAGATATGTAGGGATCATTATAATATCATTATAATATCCTAACGAGGAGGAAGACGGAACCCAGCTGCGGAGTCACGGTCAGTATCGTGTCTCAGACCCAAGAGGACATGATGGCAAACAACTGCTATCTGGGCAAACAACTGGGATAGCTCTCTCTATGGTGATTTAGGGAGGAGGTGTCTAATTAAACTATAACTTAGTTACACAGGTAGTAAGCTGCAGTATGTTACGTCACATATATACAGTTGGTATTGATATCAGCGGGGTACTTATGCAAGGCAGGTTGAGGTTACCGTATGTTACGTCACATATGAATCGGATGCAGAGATATTGTATTTGAACTTGGCACATAAGCACAGCAGGTTAAGATGATTCTATGTTAGTTCACATATATAATTTCATGTACATCTTGCAGGTTAACTTCTAATAATCAAAGTAGGAGGAGGCAGTCTCTTATCTAAGCAGTCAATGCTACACAATCCAGGTAGCTTAGTATTATGCAATAGCTCCCCAGATGGGCAGCATGCCCATAGGGGTGGATACTTGCTGTTGGCAGGTCAGACAGGGGGAGTACTGGAGGTGCTCATAGGAGTCCTGTGCAGGCAAGGCGTCCGGGTACTGTATCCTTGGTTGGGCTGCTCCTTCCCTGGATGTGTAGTGGAGGTGCGCGGCATACTTCTGGCGTTCACCGCGGGTTGTTGGAACGCCAGACGATCATGAGGTCGCGGCTTATGACGCGGCGGGGGGCGTTCTTGTGTGGCGTCGGCTGACCGGGGGCGGAGTTACCCCTCGAGTCTGTGACGCCGAACGGCCGGATCTGCGGGAGATATTACACCCATTAGCATTTAACAGCCCTCTTCAAATGCCCACAAAGTTGATATCCACTCCAGCAGTGTAATGCTAAAGAACTTTTATTAACATCTTCACAATGGGGAGAGAGGGTATAGGGATCCTAGACATCCAGGGCAGTACAGACTTAGACTCTAGACTCACCAGTCCCTTTCAGCAATGCAATATAGATCCATCCTTATAGGAATTTGAGTAGTACTCGTGAAAATTCCCCCGACACAAAGCGCTGGTACCGGCGCTTTAAATTTTTTAACACGAGCGGCTTGCTGGGGACCTCACAGTAACCTGCTGCAGACCTTGCTATGGCTGTTGACAATGCCGATCTAGCCACACATCTCCTCCTCCTTCCCGCCGCCCGCACTAACCCCCACAGCCATGGTGAGACCTGCACACAGCCCTAGTAAGACTGCACAGCTATAGTGAGACTGCCCAGCCATGATGAGACTGCACAGCCATGGTGAGACCCACACGCAGTCATGGTGAGACCCTGCACACAGCCCTGGTGAGACCGCACAGCCATGGTGGGACCCACACACACCCCTGGTGAGACCTGTACGTAGCTCTGTTGAGACACTGCATGCAACCCTGGTGAGACTACACAGCCATAGTGAGACCCGCACGTAGCCCTGGTGAGATGCACACACAGCCCTGATGAGACTGCACAGCCCTGGTGAGACCACACATACAGCCCTGGTAAGACTTGCACGCAGTCCTGGTGAGATCGCGCAGCCATGGTGAGACCCTACACAGTCCTGGTGAGACTGCACAGCTATGGTAAGGCACATTTAAGGCTAACTGGTTAAGCCTGTATTTGTTGAGGAGTCTGCGCCTCCCCAGCCCTCATAAGCCACTTGCTCTGGCTTCCGGGTACGCGAGGGATCTCGCATCGCTGAGAGTCTGGAGTCCCCTTCCAGTCAACGTGTCATTTCCGGTGAGTTTGCACGTCATAGCACGGTCGTAGCACAGGAAGCGTTCCCCTGCCTGCACTGCTCATGCATCTATTAAGTGTATACACGAGTATTTATTTATTTCTTCTTGTACAGTGTCATAGCTTTCCGGATGTGCAGTAAATTAATGTTAGGTGTTTGAAAAGATTCCCGGAGACTGTACAGCACCGGATTCCCTCAGGAAAGAAAGGTGCAAACTGTATCAGAGCACTAACATTCAGCATCATGCCCTAAGCTAAGCACCAACTTCTCTGCAAACCTTCCTTACGATCCCCCATCATGTCCGATCAGGCCATTCATTGCATTGCCCAGATCACAAGCGTTTATATAATCACGTGTTACATTCACTCCGCTCAATAAAACAAACTTTCACTGACGTCACACCCCCTACTCCGCTTGTATGGGCCGCTGCCACCTAGTGGCGGGATGTAGAAACTACAGCACCGAGGAGAGCTCTATACTTCATATGTAAAAATAATGTATGTTCCCTCACCAGCATGGGGGATATGGAAAGAAAAAAAAACACGCATCCCGAGAGGGTCCTGGCATCAATCTTTCCAGCCCAGGGACGGAAGGTGACTTTTTGTTTTGAATTTCATGCGGCACATCACGTTGCACCTTAGTGTATCTTTCAGCGGCCATGCGTTACAGACAGCAATGCCTTGCAGTGTCAGGTTAGGGGTAAGAGGGCCAGTTATTTTGCAGGCAATGTGTTCACCACAACACAAGGCTGCCGGGCGGTGTGTGGGGTGTTCCATTTGGAGGGATTGCAACACTTTCAGCTCGACACCCCTATGCACTTACTTCCGCCGGCAGGCTGGTTGTTTGCAGCGGCCGGCGCATGTACAATGTTTACACAGCTGTCACTGCATGCATCCTCAGCACTGGCACACGTTTACAAAATCGTTGGTTCACCACCCCCAGGCACGGAACCTCTTGCATGCATATCCCTGTTCATACATGACTTTAAAACATGTGGTTGGATACATATCTTCTCTGTGTCACTTTCATGTGTGCTCATGTTACTAAACAATTGTTCCGGGTGGGTACCGAGACAGTTGGTTCATGAGACTTGTGCATACTTAGGGGTTTATTTCCTGGTTCCCACGACTTCCTGGTACTGTGTACACATGTTAGGGGTAAGAGCCAACCCGGCTGCGGGTCCTCATAGCATGCGTTTCAGGTCACTGCGGATGCATCGCTTATGGATTCATAGCTTGACTGCGGAGCCCTACGTACAGCATAAACCAGGGAACTAAACGCACCCACTAGGTTGGGTCCATCATGCCTGTTCTGGTCAGGGCACACAGTCTTTTCCCACACTGAAAACCAGGCGACAGCGGACGTCTTCAACAAAGGGAGATCAAAGTCCTTAATGATCATGTCATTTCTTCGTAGGTTGACTTGGCTGACCCTTCAATACAAGTTATATCATTTTGTTATTTCATCCCTGGTGTATGTAACATGGCGGCTGATGGTTTGTCCAGGTTTAAATTCGATTGTTTTCTTTCAACAGTACCCGGATGCGGACGCGGTTCCTACGCCAGTTCCCGTATCCCAGCATCTGGTGCTGGACTAGAGGAGCATCGGTTAAACGCAGTCCGGCTAACCAACAGTTCCTTGCGCATAATACCCGCAAGGCGCACGTAATGGCATGGAAAACATTCAATGTTTTCCAAGGCAAATAGGCCACACTAGAACCCAGCAGCATAGATTACATCTCAGCATCTATTGCGCACTGTCATTCAGACCTCAAACTAGCACGCGATACTATCCGGTTGTACTTGGCAGGTGTGCAACATTTCCCGGGTTTACTAACCCAGATAGACCCTCTTTGTTCACAGCGCACCTCGTCCGGGCCATGCTTAAAGTTATTCAGAAGTCGGGTGTCCAATCGCATGGCACCAGGTTACCCGTTTTCGGTCATTTGTTCAGAGGCATGTCTGCTATGTTGGTTAGATCACGGTAGTTCAAAAGCCGCATCTACTTAGTGTTTTACGGGTTCTGGAGACCAGGTGAGTTACCTCCTCAAGCTCCAAGACTGTCACGGTACTCAAAACTAACTTGTGTCGGTTCCCCGACCATTACTGGTTAACTCTTGAGCGGGGACTAAGACTAATCAGGTAGGCGCACCCACACGGATCAAGTGGTTTCTGTCTGGCAATGCAGGGTGCCCTGTCTCAGTATTGGATTGTCTCATGACCAAATTATCAACCACACCGCTACATGGGCCTTTGTTACCTTTTCCGCATGCCGCTCTCTCCTCTCAGCAGTTTG